CACCCCTCACGGCCTGGCCCGGTTCTACTGCCGGCTCACGGCCGTGATCGCATCTCCCCGTCCCTCTCCTTTTTTCCCCGCAGCCTTCCGGACTGCCTTTCGGGCTCAGGGCGCGCTGGCAGTGCTGCAGCATTTCGACCCCCTCTACAGCTTGCTGCAGTGAGTACAGAGCGATGAGCGCGGAGGCCGGGGGTACCGGGAGGGGAGCGGGTAGAGGAGGGTTGTGGAGAGGCTGGCGCACCTGAGTGTTAACGCCTTTCCCTGGTGGTGTTTACTCGCTGCCCTCACACGCTCTGCTTGCCCTGCAGCCACTTCCAAGCTGTGGGGACTGATGTCAAGGAGGATGCCCTGGAGCTGATGATGCGCGGTGGGTATCTGCTGTTTCCAGCTGAGGTGGGAGTAATAGAGAGGTTGATGTCCTGTGGCAGCTCAGTGATGATATAAAGGCTAATGTGACTCGACCAGCTGGGTTGCACCCTCAGCCCATTCCAGTAATACGGGTCTGTAATCTTGGTGGACAACGCTGAGCTGTGCGTGTTCGCTGTAAGGGCAGACCGACAGAAAATCCCCTTCCCTGCGTCCCTGGAAAATACATCTTGGGATGCGTCAGCTCTAAGCGAGTGTTTCTATGAGCTGATGAGAGGCTGTGGGGATAGGATAGGGCAGTGCGTCCAAGGTTTGGGTTGCAGGGGGCAGCCCATGTTACAGCTGGTGAGATGTGAGCACACGTCTTTGGTAATCTGATGACTGCTCTAAGTCTCCAGAAGAGCGGATGGCTGAGGGGCCTGGCAAGGAGTGCTCATGACTTTCTGCCTCTCTTCAGTGGTGTCCCATCATTCCAATGAACTTCCTGCCATCTTGGGTGATTCTGGGCTAAGCCGCGCAGACCGCACTGCTCACCTCAATGCTCTCAAGATGAACTGCTACTTGCTGACTGGCCTGGTGGATGCCTTTGAAATGGAGACCTGCAAAAGTGGTTTGTTGGAGGTGGGTCCTGGTGGGAAGGTAGGTGGGAAGGTGAGGGTACTGGGGGGAAGGGAAAACAAGGTGATAAAAGTAGAAAACGTGTAACCTTGCTGATCTCTGTGATTTCTATCAGATGTTATAACTGGGTTTATTTAAACACATTACCAGCAAGAGCAGTGCATTCATGTGGAGTACTGGTATTTCTGTGAAACTGTAGACAGAAAACATCCAAAGGGACAATATTTGTCTAAACGTCAGCAGGCCCTCAGATGCCCAGGCCTCTCTCTTTCACTCTTCAGTGTCTGGCTGGTACTTAGCGTGCCCGTATTTTCTCAAGAGTTCCTTTCTGTGCTCAAAGATGACAGCAACGGTCGTTTGATGTGGGCATATAAGCTCCTCATACATCTCACTGTATGTCTCTTAATTTTGTAGAATTTGACAGTCATTTTCTTTTTTGAGGGAAGCAGGGTGGTGATGGTGTTTTTTCTCTTGTCAAGCTGCTGATGTATCGCATCGTGTAATCTTCTTTCTAGAACAAGAAGAACCGTACCAAGACCTCTGGATCCTTGTGGGAAGAGGAGAGGGAGCCGCTCTTAAGGCTACTCACGCAGCTGCTGCAGCTGGATCTCCATAAGCTTTGGGGTGGTTCAGTGATGGAAGAAGAGTTTGTCAGGTATGGGATGGAGTGGATGTAGAGGTGGGATGAGTGACAGTGGTTTTCTGGAGGGGAGGATTAAATGTTAAATCTGCCAGTGAGGTGGTATTGCAGCCCTCTGTGGGGTACAGATCTCTGGGAAACTGAGGAAACTGTCTTGAGGCAAAAGCAATGTGTTTAGGAATCACTTCCTTTCCTCGTGTAGACCTCTAAAATTCAGATGTTGTTTTCTCAGGTTTTTAAGGATACTGGAGAATCTCTCTGGTTTGCAAGAAATGTGTTTGCCTAGTGCAGTGTGCTAGCATGACGTTGGTGCAAGTTGTGATAGTGAGGTTCACTGTCTCTCTTCTGTGGTTTTAGCTTAATGACAGGAAGCTGCTACCGTATCCTGGAGAATTCGAGTATTGGTCTTCAGAAGTACCGGGCCACACGGGAGGCTGTGACACATCTGCTTGCCACAGCTCTGGTTCATTATGATCACATGTTCAGTGAGTTCCTGCTCTTCTGCCTTCTTCCTGAAGCCATTCCCAGTTACTTTCCCTGACCTCTTTCTTCCTTCTTACATGAGAAAGGTGCCACTCTGAAGATCACGCAGATGCTGCAGCACTTTGAACACGTAGCCCCAGTGTTTGCACAGGCTGTGAGCCTCTGGGCTACAGAGTATGGTCTGAAAAGCCTGGTGGGTGAATTGCTAAGGTGAGAAACATACCCCGAGGCTTGTCCTTCTATCCCTAGCAACACGAAGCACCCTATTCCTTGTTTCATCTTTCTCTGCAGGGAAATTGGACAAAAATGTCCGCAGGATCTGACTCGCGATGCTTCTGGTATCAAGGGTTATGCTACCTTTATAACTGAACTGGCTGAACAGATTCCAGCTCTGGTGCTATCCAACATGAGCGTTCTCCTGCGTCACTTGGATGGGGAGGTACGTTTCTGCAATATTGCCTGTCTGGAGAAGTCAAGTGGTGGAGGTGCTGCTATCCAGTCTTTCTGTCTGAAAACAGAACCTCTTTCACAGAGATCAAGTAGCCAAAACCTGCCCTTTGGAATAGGTTTTGCCCTTACCTAAAAGATGCAAAGGAAACGGAAATTGTGACATCAACTGTCTGGTTCTTACTCTTGAGTATCAGAAAATGGTGGGAGACTGCTTACTGGTCTGAGATGCCAGCCGCTGTCCCTTGTTCTTCAGTACTTAATGAGTTTGTCATTGTGTTACCTTTTTTTTAAAACTGCCCTTAAAAGCCATAAGTGTTTCTCATATCAGTTCTTGGCTTCTGTGAACCTAGCTGGATAGCAGGGTTGGATTACTCTATCTTGCAGGCATATCTGTGCTCTCCCAAGGTTAATACAAACTCCATAATGGAGAAATTCGCTTAAGGCTGGAGCCTGAGACTTAGAAAGCCCCAACTCTGGGCCATCCTTCCCCTTGGCATATCAAGTTGTGTCTTTTTTTCTGTTCCTGGTTCAACAACTCTTCTTTTTGCAGAGTTACATGATGCGAAATGCCATTCTGGTGGCTATGACAGAAGTGCTGGTGCAGGTGCTGAATGGTGACCAGCTGGAGGAAGCTGCCCGTGGTACTCGGGACCAGTTCCTGAATATGCTGCAGGCCCATGTCTGTGACATCAATGGCTTTGTGCGCAGCCGTGTGCTGCAGCTTTTCACTCGAATCGTTCAGTGCAAGGTAAGTCTGTGCTAGGGAAGTGGCATTGCTTCAGTCATCCTTTCCCCTGTTGTGTTTTCTAAGGGAATTTCTGTCACCCTGCTCTTTGTTTGCAGAGTCTGAAGTTTAATAGAGAAAGGTATTGTCCCTGTGTACTGTGGTGTCCGCAGTTCCTTTTTCCCAAGAGACCAAAGATCCTAAGGGCAAGGGAACTGGGGAACAGAAATTAAATGCTGGTTTTCATTACGGGGACAGACTAGAAGGAAGAGCATAGTATGCAAGCTCTTTTTGAACATTGGTATGGGAAAACATCACCCTTGCTAGATATACTAAAACTTGACTCAAGGGGACCCTGGATAGCCTAACTGAAGTCCTTGCTTTCAACAGAGGTTGGACCAGAAGATATCCAGAGGTCCATTCACACCTAGACTTTTCTATAAATCTATAATATATGCCTTTTAGTAAATTAATATGTCTGCAGTAAAATAACTTTTCCTGAGTCTCTAGGCCTTCTTGCTAACTTTGTCTATGCTCTCATTGTGTGCTAGGCTCTGCCTTTGACTCAGTTTCAGACTGTGGTATCGCTGGCTGTTGGGCGTCTCAGAGACAAATCTGTGGTAGTAGCTAAAAATGCGATCCAGCTCCTGGCTGCGTTTTTATCCAACAATCCCTTCTCCAGCAAGGTAATTCTGACTAGCATGTTGGCTATGCTAGATGTCTGTTTGCAGGCTGAATATCCGCAGCTTGCTATAGGCAGGGCAGCAGCCTTTCTGTGTCTTGTGGGAGGGACAATGTAGCCTTGGAATCTGCAGGTGGGAGCTTTCTGGCTTTCCCAGGTTCAGATCTTGCTTCCTCTGGCTCTTCCCTCGCTTGGTGTAATTGGTAGGTATGCTGAAGGCCAGAAGGGATGTGTTTGATTGTGGAAAAACCTGCAGTAGTTTGATTTGAATCTACTGCGGGGTTTCTTTCCTTAGGATCAAAATTAGTCTTTTAGAACATTCTGCACAGAGCTGCAGCTCTTTGTGTTTAGCTGCACCTTCTCCTGAGCTCCTGAGCCTTAGACTGGCAATTTATAGTACTTCCCCTTCTAGGATGATGGCCAGAGTCCAGTTTCCAAAACCAGGGTTATGTGAGGGGATTGACAACTTAAAGCAGGGAGTGGAAGAGAAAGGAGAATTCTAGCATTTCAGAAAAAGGAGGATAAAGTAACATATTTCTTCTCTTCCTGGCATCTTCAGCTAAGCTGTACTGACTTGGCTGAGCCACTGAAGAAAGAGGTGCAGAAGCTGCAAGAAATGAGAGACCGTGACAAATCCACAGCAGGTAATTTCCCTTCTTCCTCTTTCCCCTTCCCAGGGCATATCAGGGTTTTTTTTTTTCCTCATCTTAAATTTGCTCCCAGGTTGTAGTGGCTTTTGTCTCAGATCTTACTTGTGTGAGATGGTGAAGCCAGATAACTGGGATTAAACTCACAACAGTTTTTCATACAGTGGTGTTATAAAAGGACAATTTCAATGTCCATGTATAGATCAACAATTAAATATCCTATTTTCAGGGTAAGAACTGAAAATACCTATAAATACCCTCCCAGGTTTCTATTTTCAACCATTCAAGGATTGCTTGAGCCATAATTTTGGTCAGATATTAATTCAAACTTGATTAGCTTTGGACTTGGTGCTGCCTACAAAACAATAAATATCAAATGATGGTTCTCTCTTACCTGTTTTTTTGTTGTTGTTTTTATCTTCAGTGGTTTCTTTTTTTATGCCAAAGAGTTCTTGCCTATTCTTGCTGCAGTCTGGGTGGGATCAGCAATGGGAATAGTGCCTGCCTGCAGGGAATACAAAAAAAAAAAGTAGAATTCCTAAGTTCCATATGAGTTTCTCTCCCCATTTAAGGTGTCATTTGAGCCTCCGTATTCTTCATTCCCGCTGCTGTTTTTTTTTTTTTAATAGCTCCAGTGATCACCCCAGAGGAAGAGTGGGAAGCGATGCTGCCAGAAGTTAGGGCTGCCACACAGCAGCTCTTTCAACCACAGCAGGAAGGGGAAGAGGAGGTGCTGGAAGTTGAGGAAACAGCGGAGAGTACATCGGAGCAAATCACTAGGCTGCTGAGGAAGCTGAATTACAAGTAAGAAGACTCTGTAGTTTGAAAGAGTGTTTATCCCAAGGGATGTGTTGGTCCCTTGTTCCCTGTTCAAGAAAGGTTTGAGCTCCAGGGTGGAGGGATGATTTCCAGTAAGATTTCTCTGTACGAAGAGATTGACATGGGCACCCAGCACAAGATGCTGGCAGGAGCTGCTTTCCCAGGTGTTCAGGGCAAAGTTGGGTGGTTTCCTTTGTGTTCTGCCCTAACGGGTTGCTGACGTTCTTCTCTTGGGCAATGTCATTGTCCAGGAGTGCAGCCCGCCTTACACAGAAGGCCCTGTGTCGCTTCCAGGGGAAGGAGCCCTTCAGTGGCCCCACAGAGGAAAATGGGGAGGCAACAATCCTGGGTGTTCTGAAGAGACTTTACACAGGTAACTACTTCAAATCACTCTGTCTCTTCCCTAAGTCCAAGCTGATGCTGGAGCTAGACCAAAACCCTCTGGAATGCCCTGTCCGTCCTTCTGACCTGTGGGGCTCAGTCTGTGTGTACTTGACAGCTCACAGAGCTGCACCATCTCTGAATCATTTGCTCCTCTAGTGGCCTGGCATTTTGGCTGGATCACATTAGTCCTGTTATTTCATTTCTGGTTGGAACAGTTCCACGTTCCCAGTAGAAGTGCATTTCTGATGCTTTAACTTATGTAATATCTGCTGAGGGGAGGGAAGCTAGCATTATCCACTCACACCCTTCTGTCCTGTCTGAATTTGTCAGGAGTTCTGCTTCCTGAACAGGTGGTGGCACATAATGCTTACCCTTAGCAGCCTTGACCAAGTATCTGGTTCAAGCAAAGTCTTGCTTATCTGAGGCTCAAGCCTCTGGGTGTATTTCATGTGCTTTATCTTTGGTGTTTGTTTCAGAATAAGGTTTCCTAGCCAATCCCCTTGAGCTCATTTCTATCAAAAGTCTACCATCTAAAAAATCTTCTTAACTTTGTCAACTCTCCACACTCGCACAAACTTTGCTAGGGAGTAGTAGTGTTTGCCTTCTCCTTGCTCTGCCCTGATTCCCTTTCAGGGCCTCATCCATCTTTGGGTAGCTGTCAAGTTCAAATTAACCCCTTCAGCATTTTAATGGAGTTTACCCCAACTGGACCATGCCTTTCTCCACCCCTGTATTAAGTTGGCATTTCTGTGGTGCATCACATTGTAGTACCGGAACTTGCTCTACAGTGTGCTGAGATTTTGTCTTCGTAGCTAAGTCTGATGGCAGACTTGGATTTTTGTCTCCTGGTTCTTGGAAGGTGTCATGGGGTGGAGAGGGAAGGGTGAAAATGCCCTGAACCGTACCTGCTTTTCTTGTACTTTCAGTACTGCTCACAAACAAGTATTCATGCTGTGCAGGTTCATGCCCAGGTGAGAACAGTGAGGATCCTCCACATGGCAACAGTACTTGTAAGACCAAAGAAGTTGTACCAGAAGAGCAGTCTCAGACAGAGCTGGTCAAACAGGAGATGTTGGTGCAATACCTGCAAGATGCTTACAACTTCTCAGTGAAAATTACAGAAGCCCTGAGCCTGATCAGCAAGATGATGTATGAAAACTGTGTCTCAGGTGTGTGAAATAGCCATGGGGCCCTTTCTCCCTTGTTCAGTGTTTCCAGATCTTTCCCCTTGCTGGAGAGGAGACGTGGGAGTGGTGGAGCTCCAGGGGAAGGGAAAAAGGTTGGAGGAGGTGCTCTTCACTGAGCAGATGTTGAAGGCACTTCCAGGCTATCAGAAAAGCAAGCACCATCTAAATGGGTGTCGTGAAGGGGTTATGTTGGGGCATGAATGGGCTTTTTGGGAATCAATTTTTTTAAATATCAAGGTTGATAATGTTTTTAAAAGCCAGGTGACCAAAATGACTTAATTTATGGAAGCTCCTCCACCTCCTGTGAGAGGGGATGTATGCTTATCTCGGCCGAGGTTCTTCCAAAGTAAGCGTGGCCAGTGAAGCTGGGTTCTGTTACCTGCTCAGTGCCCTGATGCAGCTTCAGGTGTTATGCTGGCCACAAGAGGGGAACTGAGCAGCTTGTTTCATCCACCTCACCTTTCCTTAAACTTTATTCTGTAGCTAAAAGTGATCCTGATCAACAGGTTCTACAGCCTGGTCCTCGTCAGTGCTGTAGTGAAAGGTGGTGATGAGTAGGCCTTTGAGTTAATTCAGCCATTCGTATTAAATATTAGAACTACTGTAACAAGTTAGACTTTTTTTGGAGGGCTTATCATGAATCAGCACCCCTGAGGGGGCTGGGGCATAGAGGGGCACAGCTCCCTCCTCTCCCATCCTCCCTGGCACATCCACATGCCAACCACTTGCATAGTTCGGGGGTACAGATGGGTCTGCGCACTACAGCACCCCAGCTTCATGCAAACACTTCTGAGGCTTCATCTGTATTAAGGACTCGTATGTTACCCGTGATAAGCATGTGGGCTTCCGCAGCAAGGTTTAGGTGTCATTAGCTGTTTGCACACACAAAAATGAACTCCTGAGTTCAGTGTCTTTACAGGTCATTTGAAGTTCAAGGCTGAGAGGGTGCCCCTCACCTGGTACTTAAACACATGGGTTTTGGCTTACTTTTTTATGGCTGTGCAGATTTTAATAATTTTTCACCTCCCTGTTGTCCTGTGCTGTAGTTAAGGAAGGCAAGTTGGGTGTCTGGACAGCCAAGACATTTTGAGACATTGTCTTCATTTAGAGACAATACGCTGCTGGGTAAGAGGGTGGTGGTAAGGGATGTGTGTGCTCAGATTTAGGTTTTTTAATTAAAGATTTAAGATTTAAAGATTTTATTTTTTTCTGTTGCAAATATGTACCTTCTGGTGTGACTGGGCGCAGGGGAAGCATACCAGCTTGTCTGATAGGGGATCTTTATTCAGATTTGTAAGTTGGAGCTTATACTGGTGTAAGCTCCCACTTAACCAGAGGTCAGACTCCATGAACTGTTCATTGTACAGTCCCTGTAGTCATTCCTGTGGGTCTCTTGTGAATACTCTCCAAATTAATGTTTTTTCTTGTCTTAATGAGCAGAAGACTGGGCAGTATATTTCAGGAGTAGTCAAGCTGGAATCAGATACATTATGCCTTAGCCCATTTATACATCAAATAGCTTAGTTTCTCTGGTTACAGCATCTCACAAGGACTTAGATTCAGCTGCTCTTGTCTGCTGTGACCATGAGATCTTTTTTTTCCAAAGCTACTGTTTCCCAGAAGAGAATTTTGTTCTTTCTCAAACATGGTCTCTGTGCTCTTCTCCTAAATGTATCACATGACCAATATTACAGCTAAATCTAACCTGTGCCCATTTCCTCCAGGAAATCTATGTCTTTGTACTAGTGACCCCATCCTGCAGTATGCCTATGAATTTGTTTTAATGGCCTCTCTAATGGGGATTAGGAAAGAACTGCACTAACGCAACTGTTCTCTCTGCAGTGGTGCAGGAAGCCATTGAGTTCTTTGTGACAGTCTCGCAGTTTGGTGTGCCCCAGGCACTGGTTGGAATCCGCAGGATGCTCCCCCTCATATGGTCAAGAGAGCCTGGTATTAAGGAGGCTGTGCTGAACGCCTACAGGCGGCTCTATCTGAGCCCCAGCGGGGATTCGGAGAGGTATGGCTCTTCCTAATCAGAAGGTTTTTTTCTGTTTGGTTTTTTGGTTTGGTTTTTTTTTTTTCTCTTTCCCTTGCTACTCCACCCTTCCTCTCCTTCTTTTGGGGAGTTGTTGTGAATGGGATATAGACACAAAGAGAAATAAAAGTTGCCATGCTTCATGCTGAGCTGAAACGTAAGGTTATATATCTGTATCCCAATCTTCCTGTGGGACCCACTGCTGAGCTTCCGCTCTTGGTTTGTCATAGTGTTCATGTGTAGGAAATTCATGCAGCAGAACTCCATGTGAGACCTTATGGAAGGAGAAGCTGAGAATTATTTTAAACTAAACTGTTATCAGGCACTCACGCTTAACATTCTCATCCATTTCACTCTCATACAAAGCACTGCACCAAGATACATGTGCCCAAATGATCTGGGTCGGGTCTCTATGTGATAGGAAACAAGGGGTGTCAGTTCTGAATGTTCATCTTGTCAGCAGGGTTCTTGATTGGCAGCAACGAACTGATTTTTTGGATGGCTATTTCAGCCCCTTTGGGAGTCAGCGGTTGTTACAGACTCATCCCATATCTAAGAGTCTTGCATGCTTTACCCTCTGTGGCAAAGTTGTTGCCTGGTGTCTGTTCCCCCATTTGGGGTTTCTTATGGCTGTAGTTGCTCATCCTGTTGGAATAAGAGGAATGGTATACAGTGAGGTCTAAAGTTGGAGCTATCTTTCTATTACCAGAGCTCAGGTTTTTTGCTGACGTGTCATACATTCTGTGGCCTTATCTGATTAGAGGCATTCTGCTTCTGATGTACATAACACATTCCTCAGTGTTTACTGGTTTTCTTACTGTCAGTTCTGTCCTTGATTTTTCAATGTACACCGTTTCTTTATCCCTCACACTATACAAGGTTAGTTCTTATTATCGTTTGGGTACTTTCACACACATTTCTATTTGTATTTCATTCAGTCCGCTCTTAAATCTTTATGTAACAAATCTCTACATGTGGCAGGTGAGAGGATGTTAATGGGGTCTTTGTTGCTGATCCTTAGTGAGGATTTGGGGGTGGGAGCTGGGTACCACTTGCATTCTTGTTTCTTCCACGCTAGAGAGGAGCTGTTTCTCCTAACTACTGTGGCACTTGCTCTTTTCTTCTTAGCACTTGCCCACATGTAAATCCTGTTGGATACACACACCCCAAAATAAGTGTGATTCCCTGGTGAGATGCACCATACCCCACCCTCATTTGTGCCATCATGGCAATAAAAAGCACCCATTGCTTCATATTTCTTCTTGATAGTTGTCATGGTTTAACCCCAGCTAGCAACTAAACACTATGCAGCTGCTCACTCACTCACCCCCCAACCCAGCGAGATGGGGAAGAGAATCGGGGGGAAAAAAAAGTAAAACTCGTGGGTTGAGGTAATAGAACAGAAAAGAAGAAACTAATAATGTTAATAATAATAAAATTACAATAATAATAATAAAAGGATTGGAATATACAAGTGATACACAATGCAATTGCTCACCACCTGCCAACTGATGCCCAGTTAGTCCCCAAGCAGCGATTCCCCCCAGCCCCACTCCCCCCAGTTTATATACTAGACATGACAGACATCACACGGTATGGAATACCCCTCTGGCCAGTTTGGGTCAGCTGTCCTGGCTGTGTCCCCTCCCAACTTCTTGTGCCCCTCCAGCCTTCTTGCTGGCTGGGCATGAGGAGCTGAAAAATCCTTGACTTTAGACTAAACATTACTTAGCAACAACTGAAAACAGCAGTGTGTTATCAACATTCTTCTCATACCGAACTCAAAACACAGCACTATAACAGCTACTAGGAAGACAATTAACTCTATTGCAGCTGAAACCAGGACAATAGTATTGCCTGGAGATGACTCTTCTGCAGTTTGAGCTCTGGCCTTATTTGTTCATAGAGTGGTTTTCCATTTCTTATGCTCTAGGGAATAGTACTTTGAGTTGTGGTTGAGAGCAAACTGGGAAGTGTCTGGTGAGTGCCTCTTGTTGGGTCTTTGAGCACCAGGAGGAGCAGCAGTGGCAGTGGCAGTGCACAAGGCAGTGGACTTCTGAGCCCATGTCACACTCACTGGCAGCTGAGCTGGGTGACTTGGAGAACTCCAGCTTGTGAAAGGGGAAGTTTTCCTGTCCCCAGGGATCAGCTCTGTTATCTAATAGATGTCCTCAGCTCTCTGAATAAGAGAGTAATTGTGACAGTTGCTTTTTCTTTTTCTTAACCTTTAAATTTTTTATTATTATTACTTTATTTTATTTTTTCCCCCCTTCAAAGGGCCAGAGCCCAAGGCCTGGTGCATTCTCTCTCTCTCATCATGGTGGATGCATCGCTAGGAACGATACAGTGCTTAGAAGAAATAGTGAGTACTTGCCTTGCCTGCGTTTGGATTGTATTTGTGATCTTAGATGTCCATTATATTAAAATGGTAGTCATTGCAGTTAATGTCTTTGCTGGTTTGAAGTCCATCCTTATGCCTCTCCCTACTTGTTTTATTGCATTTCTTTTCCAGATCTCGGAGTTTGTGCAGAAAGATGAAATAAAGCCTGCTGTGATCCAGCTGCTTTGGGAGCGATTCACGGAAAAATCTCAGTGCTCATCACTAGAGCGACGTGCTGCTGTGATGCTGCTGGGGATGATGGCACGGTAAGCCCAGGGCCTGGTCTAATCCTGTAAGTGGGAGGATATACAGGGAGTCGATTTTTATCGAAGAACTGTGGGTGCTGCATCAGCTGACCCTTTGTTCTGCAGCTTCAAAAATAGTAACCACGTCATGGGGTAACGAAGCCTGGAATTAAACATAGTTGTGCTGGGTCCCACCAGCATGGTCTCTGAATGAGTATGACGACATTACTTTCTTTGTGTTCTGAATGTCCGTGCCGTCTCAGAGCTTACCATGTCACAGTTCTGCAGCTTTGTCTGTGTTTGGATAAGACCAGTGAGAAGCTGCTGAGTAGAGATGTCTGGAGCCTTTAGCATGAAGAGAAATGAACCTGCTTCCCTTTCTGGGGGCAAAAAGAGTGTGATTTCACTATAAGGTTTTAATTTCCTCAGTCTCCCAGCCTGGTAACCCTTTGGCATTTAGCTTACCTGCTGATTTCTTCTTGCTCTTCCTACTTCAGTCCTTCATCAGTCAAAAATAGGCCTGCATAACGATGATCTTAAAGTTCTTGGCTCTAGAGCTGGAGCCATTTCTGGAGCTTACAGCCAGTTCTGCAACTTGAGTATTAGATATTCCTTCCAAGGTATTTCTACCGCCCCATCCCATGTGCTTGTGGCAGAATTGTAGACATCGTCTCAAAATTAATACCCTTCCCTAAAATCATGGGATTTAAAGAAAACTGTAGGTTTCTAGGGTATCCCATGAGATCCTGCGTTGAGTCCATGGGTATGTGTGTGTGAAATAAGAACAGCATCGCCTTCTTCACAAATCTGCTAAGTGAGGTGATTTTGCTTTTTTCCTATAGATGCCAGTTATAAACTTCTTAGATTCTCTTCTTAAATACATTAAATTCTGTTCTTGCCTTCTTCACCCAGTTAATTCTATGTACCTCAGATCAGGCCTGGACTGAAGAATATACAATTCTACCTGTCACAGGTAGAAAGTGGGGGGTGGGGGTGGGTTTGGGGTTTTTTTTGTTGTGTTGTTTTCTTTCCCACAGTAGGGAAGGAAGTGGCACATGTCACCAGTCCTGAGCTGCTGGACTCTTTTCTGTTTTGCAACGTTTTTCTTTGTCTTACCCTTTTAAGTTTTGGTCCTTCCTGATAAGAAAGAGGAGTCAAGAATCTTCTTTCTTTACAAAGAGACAGTGTGCCGAGCGGTGTTCACTTTGAAGAACCTCATCTCTTAGCCGAGTGTGGATTATACTGGCTTCTGTGGAATATTGGTTGCTGCTCTTATAGCTATATCTTGAATTTGCTGCTCTTATAGCTATATCTTGAATCATTGGATGGATTTGGGTTTTGGTTTTTTTTTTTCCCCCCCTCTTACTCAAACCACTGCCTTCCGCAAGGTACAAGGAGTATTTCTCTTGGTTATCCACACTTCTGTAAACTTTCAGCAGCAACTCATGTAATACCCCCATCCCTTCCATTCCATAGAGGGAAGCCAGAGATCATAGGTAGCAACTTGGACGTCTTGGTGACAGTAGGGCTGTCTGAGAAGGTATGCGAAGACTATCGCCTGGCTCAAGAAGTATGCAGTGCCATCGCCAAACTTGCCGGTAAACCTAAGGTAAGATTTTTAGTTTGTTCTTGAGGTCATCCAGAAACAGTTATCCAGAAACAAAGAAGGGGTGGAAATTGAGAAGAGAGAGAAGTGATTAAATTTTTACTGATTTTTGAAATTAAGTAGGTTGAGACCGTTCAGCAGCACTGTCTGGAAAGCTTAGCACACATCAGTGAACATGTAATAAAAGAATTTTCATTAGGCAACAGGCTGAATTCAATTAGTAAAGAGTTCAGTGCACAAGAAAATCTGTTTTCCTTTCAATTCTCTTCCTCAGACTCCCAGTTCTAAACTGATTTGTGTTTCCTCAACCATGAAGCCCTTTCCTCTACTGATGTTTTCTGGTGGTGTGATTCTTTTGCCCTCCCTATTAATTGATATTTGGGAGTTGTCAGCTGTACAGCTAAATATAAAACATGAAAGTTTTTCAAACCTGTCCATGTTGTACTTGCAACAACGTGATGGTCGATGGCTTCTTTGTCTGGGGAAAAATTTTTACTTTTTTTTTTTTTAATGCACTTGGAAAAAAAATCTCTTTCGTTTTTGACTCAAGCATTTTAGGGCATTGTGGTTCAGCAGTTCCAGCATAAAAGCAGCCTTCCTTCACACAGCACCATCATTCTGTGTTTGCCCCTTCCACTGGGGACACTACTGGAGGACCTTCATGAATTAAGGTGTATCACAACATTTAAGAATGTTCTGAAGATGATTGTAGTTCAATTTTAGGTTGACTTAACTCTGCAGTTAAGTTTGTATGTGAGAAGGGACTGAACTGTAGATACTTGAATGACTGTGGTAGCTCTTCCTTTGTTCTGCCCCCAATCAGAAATTGAGTACGGAGAGTAGGGTTGTAGTGAATTGAGAAATTTTGTTTCCAGCTACTGAAAGCTTGTAAATCCTCAAGCAGTAGCTCATTTTGGTCAAGTATATTTTTATCAGGCAGCCACAGGTGTGCTGGGATATCTCAGGCATTGTCATACTTGGTTTAGTAGTTCTCTGGGTTCTTTTATTCCCAACCTAAAACGTGGTGAGACTGCAACAGCCTAAGTGTGAGGTGGTGTTGGATCCAGAGCTATCCTCTGTTATTTCTACTGATGATACTTTGCTTTTAAACAAAACCTCATGGTTCTGGAGAAACCCCAGGCAAGGTCATCTAGCTGCCTTGCTGTTGATAACTCTGAAGATGCTCTAAAAGTTTCCCTCTTCATTTATTGTGGATAATGAGGAATCATATGAGATTTCAAAAGAGTTATTTTGCTTTAAGGTGAAGTAGTGGAACTGTCTGGGTTGGCCTGGGATCATCATTTGGCCAAGCTTTAAACCCACCCAGTGCTGCCACCATGCCTTCAAAAGTGACAGTAATGTCCCTGCTGTGTGTTCAGTTGCAGAGCAGTACTGGATGTCCCTGCCATGGGCCTAGCATGGGTTTGATTAGCATTGTGCACACAGCAAGGTTAAGTACCAGGAGGGTCATGGGGGCATCTTTTATGTGGTAAAAGTAACTCATCTATTCTCTCTACAGTCAGCACTGGGGAATAACAACGCACCTTTTCGACTGCCACAAAACCATATGCTCTTTGGTTGCCTGAGTAAGACTGTGAGTAAAGGTGAGCTCATGTCAGCAGTAGGTTTGGAGGAGATGGAGTTGGACTGTGAGACAGCCTGTGTTGTCGCTGGTATGTGCGGTACAATGCTCCCTCTCCTCAACAGGCTTTGACCAGCCAAGTGGTCACTGGATCCCCTTCATGGAGTCAGCGGTAATGCTCATCTACCAGCTAGCGGAAGGGGCGGAGGAGATATGTGCTCACATCCTGCAGGAGTGCAGTCAGCAAGCTCTGGAGAAGTTGCAGGAGGCTGATGGGCAGAAAGCTGGTGAGGAAAAAAGCTGGTGGAGGAAATCTGTACCCATGGTTTCTAGTGCTGTGCTTGGGTGGCCTAGAGTAACTGCAGAAGGAGAACAGAACTGAGGGGCTAGTGGAGGTGTTGGCATGGAAGAGTGCGAATGCTGTGAAGGAGTCTGTGGAGCATGGAGATGGGTTATACAGTGAGACTTGGCAGTAACTGATGGGGGAAGAGGTCTAGATCAACACTGAACTGTAGTAATTTCTCTCCGCTAGATCCAGGAGTTCCTCCCAGCAGAGTCTCTGGTGGTGCTAGCAGTCTCCCCACGTTCCTGCTGACACACCTCGTGTCCCTTGTGGGACAGGTGGCACTGCAGCAGGTAGCACATTTGGAAGTGTCAGTGAGTGCAGAGCTACACAGACGCCGCATCCTCAGAGAGGAGGAGAAGACCAAGAAGCGTTCTGACAGCAGCATGAGGCAGAAGAGACTCCGGGTAAGAACTGAGGTTTCTTTTCCTGTGGGCAATTTCCTATTTCTTCTAGTGTCCCAGCTACTGCTACAGCAAACTTCTGAAGAATGCGCTCCTGAGGATGCACGAGGTCCAGGGTAATGCATGTTTTGGTAATAGAAATGGACACGTGTTGGTTAGGATTAGCAGGGAGAGCTGAGGTCCTTGAATGACCCTGTTCAATAAAACTCACACTGGTCTTGGGTTTTGAAGAGGCAGAGAGGAGGGAATGAAGAGTGATGTCCTGGCCATGCTTATCTTTGTGCTTCAGGCAAACATTTCCTTTCTACTCATCACCTCCTTTCTTACCAGTGCAATCTTTTGCAATTGCTGCTAGTGGTGAAGAATACTCACTTGTATCCTGAGTTTTGGAAAAGGGCTTCTGGAACCGTGGGTTCCAGTCCACAGGGTTTGAAGGTGCTGTCCTCTCTCAGGTGGTAATGATAGAAGTTTAATAGTAGCCTTCTTACTGGGACCTGTATGATAGAAATACGCAGTTTGGTTAGGTCTACCTCGGAACATATTCCAGAGTGTAGTGAGGCTGACTTTCTTGAGTAAGAATAGAGAAAAATGTTGTGTGTCCCTAAGTATCTAGTCTCTATTAGATGCCTATACTGCTCTGTCCAGAGAGATTTGTAGTTCATTTCCTCATCCACCCTGCTTATCAGTGGCACTATCACTTCCCACACAGGAGGAGGTAACTGAGATTTTTCCAATAAGCAGCAGTTGGATGCAGATTTGGTCCCCATGCAACACTCATGTCTGTCTTCTTCCCTTGTGTTGCTTTTGCCTTTCTATAAGGTTTCCCGTAATCTTGCTCAGAAGACCAGCAATTCACAGGCTGCTTGGAACTTCTTTATTTTAGGATTTGCATGTCCCTTAAGTTGTGCTGAACTCAGGTATTGATGCCAGATGTTTCCTATGCCTGTCTCAGCTTAGTAACTTCAGTAGCTTAGGTGTTCTTTTTCATTGATGTTCTGTGACATGTGAAGTGGCAAATCCTGGACTAGCCTTCACAGTTTCATTCAGTTCTCGGGGGGAAAAAGTGGGTTATAAAACTCTCCATCAGTCTGTTGTTCTCGACTCTAGTCACGCTGCTGGTAACATTCATGCACGTCTCGCCCAAGAGAAGAGTACTTCATGAAGGAAGGGGTTATTGTTGCCTGTCATCTTTTTTACAGTTTTCCTTTCTGCACAGAGCACAGGAAATGAGACGACTATGGAGGAGGAGCTGGGCCTTGTGGGAGCCACAGCTGATGACACCGAGGCTGAGCTCATCCGCAATATTTGTGAGAAAGAACTTCTAGATGGTAAGTGTGGCTGCCACCAAGGAGTACTGGTTCCTTCTGCCTGTGTGAAAGAACAGGTATGGTGGGTAACAGATCCAGAAGGAGGAAGGCTGTTTCCTTCAGAAGGAAATGCTGTTATTTTTTGTCTGGTGTCAGTTTCTATGTAGGCTGTTTCTTTGCTCTGCCTCTCTGGAGGTGGTTTTTCAATGGTGAAAGTGAGTCAACCAGTTTCTATAGTTTGCAGGAGTTCTGGGATATATTAAGTCATTGTTCTTAAAGAGGGATGCACCAACAGTGCTCTCATACTTGCTGTCTTTATCCCCGCTCTCTAGGGAAGCACCTGTTCTCTGCCTTTGTTCCACTGGTGCTCAAGATCTGCAACAACCCTGGGCTCTACAGTGATTCGGCGCTCTCGGCTGCTGCAGCCCTAACTCTTGGCAAACTCTGCATGATCAGGTAATGCCTAGCCATGCCAGTGTTCCCTTCCCAGCCTTCCTAGTACTAAAGCACAAGCAAACGTTGCAATTCCTTTCCTGTGGAGAGAACAAACACAAAAGAGCGTTCATAGTTTTTTATTTTTGTGTGTTGTGTGTGTGTGTCTGCTCTCTGTGAGATGGGATTTTGGTATCTATGCCGCCTTTTCTGTACTGTATCTCATCAGCTCCGAGTTCTGTGACTCCCACTTGCGCCTGCTGTTCACTATGATGGAGAAGTCCACTCTGCCTGGTGTGAGATCCAACCTCATTATTGCAGCAGGAGATCTGGCTATCCGTTTCCCCAACCTGGTGGAGCCTTGGACATCGCACCTCTATGCCAGGTAATGCTACATTCATTGCTGGGAGAGGACAAGTGATGAGAGCTCCGTGGAAGGGTGACACTGGGCCTCCAGATGGTAACAATGACCCAGGAAACCAAATTTAAAGGTGTCAGTGCAGGGAGACAACGGACCTGGGCTGTGGAGTAGGCTGTGGGTATCGGTAATTTAAAGATACTCAGCTGCTTTCTGTGGTAACTATATGCTTCTGTCAGGTTGCGGGACCCCTGCCCAAGCGTGAGGCAGACAGCTGGACTGGTGATGACTCACCTCATCCTCAAAGACATGGTAAAGGTGAAGGGCCAAGTGAGCGAAATGGCAGCTCTGCTTATAGACCCAGAGGAGGCAATCATGGGAGTGGCTCAGAACTTTTTCAGTGAACTCTCCAACAAGGCAAGTGGATGCTCAGGGACCTTAGTTCACAAGTGTGGGGAAGGGCTGGTGGAGGCTGGGTCAATGACACAAGAGTTGAGTCCTGGAGAAGGTGTGTTAGTGGTGTAGAGCAGCTGTCTGTCCCTCTATGTTGCCTAACTGAGGGTAGATAAAGGAAATTTTGCAACATGAGTTTTGTTGGAACCCTGATGTTGCCGAATTTGACTTCATCTGTTCACATGGGAAGGCAGGCTCTAAGCCAGTGCTTTGTCCCTTTGCTTTCTTGCATACACCCAGCACAGGGTTGGGAACAGTTTTCTGCAGGTTACCTTTAGGCCTTACAAAAGGGTTCCCTGATCTTATGGCTCAGGCAGTGCACTATCTCTGAAACCTTTCAAAGTTGTTCTTGGCTGTATGACATTGAGATACTTAAATTGAAGCAGTTACAGCCCAAGCAGGGTAAGAATAGCAGCAGCATTGCCCCCTGTTACTGTTCATTCAACATGAAGGCTGCTGTGGGCACTTCAGAGTCTGAGATTTACTGCCTGAGAAGCTGCAATGATACTGGGGCTTTACTATCTTGGCTTGCTCTATTAAAAGCAGAGCCAGCCACCTGACTGCCCTGACTTCCCATCTCTGCAGTGTCTATGACAAAACCACGTAAAAGCAGTGGAAAAGGAATCTGAATTGGACCTTTTCAGGCAAGATGGGAGTCAGTTCCTTGAGCTGAACTGCTGTGCAAGTTTCCTTTATCAGGAAGCTTTTGTGTTGGGTTGTGACAAGGCTGGAAAGCAAAGAAACTGCATCCAAGTCTTCCAAAGAGCAGAGCTGTTGCAAACCAAGAGTTGTTGGTTGGTTGGGTTCCCCCCTGCTGCCCTTAGCTTCAGCCAAGTGGTCCTGGATAGGTTTGGCTGGCTGTGTACAGCTCGTTTCAAAAAGCTGGTGTTTTCAGTCAGTAGATTTGGGGTGGGGAGAAAGGAGGTAATTTTAAGTGGGCAGCTTATTTGGCTTGACTCCAGCTGTCCTTCACAATTCTGTATCTCATGTAGAACCTTGTATTCTGCACAGGGTAATGCCATCTATAACCTGCTTCCAGACATAATCAGTCGCCTCTCAGATCCTGACTGCGGCGTAGAGGAGGAATCCTTCCACATTATTATGAGGTATTCTGGGGTTAAAGAAATCTCTTTTGACCAGGACTATGTTTATGCAAAGAGGATGTCAGATCCAGGGAAGAGAAACTACAGTGACATATTGTCGTGATTTAACCCCAGCCAGCAGCTAAGCACCACGCAGCCACTCACTCACTCCCCGCCCACCCAGTGGGATGGGGGAGAGAATCGGGGGGGGGAGGGGAGTAAAAATAATGGGTTGAGATAAAGACAGTTTAATAGGAGAGAAAGGAAGAAAATAATAATGATAACAATAATAAAATGACAAGAATAAAAGAATTAGAATATACAAAACAAGTGATGCACAATGCAATTGCTCACTGTTCGCCAACCAATGCCCAGTTAGTCCCCCAAGCAGTGATCTGCCCCCCTGGCCAGCTCCCCCCAGCTGATGTACTGGGCATGACATCATGTGGCATGGAATATCCCGCTGGCCAGTTTGGGTCAGCTGTCCCGACTGTGTCCCCTCCCAACTTCTTGTGCCCCTCCAGCCTTCTTGCTGGCTGAGCATGAGAAGCTGGAAAATCCTTGACTTAGTATAAACACTACTTAGCAACAACTGAAAACATCAGTGTGTTATCAACATTCTTCTCATCCTAAATCAAAAACATAACACTATACCAGCTACTAGAAAGAAAACAAACTCTATCCCAGCTGAAACTAGGACACGTACAAAATGCTTTTTCCAGTTGTTCTCCTTGATCTGACTTTTTCAGTCTGTATCTGAAATGGAGTCATGCTGGGGGAATCAATTCTAAAGCCACTAGTTGGGAGTGAGGAGAGACTCCACAAAGAGTTTCCACTAGCCCATTCAAAATGACTTTCCCTCTAGAAAAGCAAAACAGTTGGTTTTATGCATGGGAATGTGGCTATGCAACATCGGGACAACACAACAGATTTTAAAGACTGCCACCTTTGTCAGTTTGGTGGCTTACTGGATTTTTGTAAGCAATTCTAGTAAAGCTGTAGTTAAAGTAACAGGTTTGGGTTTGGTTTTCTTAGTTTTGTTTTTGGTGTTTGTTGGGCTTTTTTTTTCCCAACAAAGCCTTACTCCATAGTATAGAGTCATACTGGAATATTTTGGTCTGAGGGTATTGGTTGCTCATAGACAGCACAAAGAATGTCTTTAGTGGTAAATTACAATAAAATCTCCAATGATTTTTCAACTAGTCTTTCTGTCCACAAGAATCCAGTACCTTTAGGAAGACAGATGTAATTTTGGACAGGTAGGAATCGCAAGGCACAGAAAAGGTCTATTAGGCTGAAATTGAGACTGAAAATAATCTATGGCTGCAAAAGTAGATGGATGTTTTGCTTCAGCTTTTAGTAAGGAGGGTAATGTGAAATAATGGGAAATGCAGCATGTGGCTAGTGACAGCACGTGTAGAAGGGAAAGTTAGTGTCTGAAGTGGAAGCAAACCAGCACAGAGAAACAAGAAGGTGGCATGTAAAAAGAATGGGACATAATTTTGGAATTTTCAGTACAATTTTTAATAAATGTCAAACTGGAGGTGTTACCACATACCTAGAGAATCCTAAGTGTAGCACTTGCATTAAAGTGTGATTAGTGTGGTTAAGACAGCTATAGATGGACTTTTCAGTCTTCCAGCAACATGCAGGGAGAGAACTGGAGGTGCCTGGCAAATAAGAGAAAAGGCAGTATTGATTTCACAAAGTAGACGGGTATCAAATTAGTCTAAAGCTAACTAATTTTAAAGAAGACCTCATCATCAGTTAGCACACCACATCATAGCTTTTAAATGGGAAAAAACAGAATAGTAGTTGAAACTGAACTATTTCCCCATGCAGCGCTATATGAAATGCTTACATTGTGGAGAGGATCCGGTTTCACTCAGAAGCCGTGGTGGACAAAAGCACAGGCTAGGAAGGAAGCAGTGGCTTATGCTCCAGGGATACTTGCCAAACTGGAGAATAGGGAGGTGTAAAAAAGATAGGGGTAGTGGGGGGACCATCACTGTTAAAAGACTCTTGTGGAGAATGAGAGGGTTACAGTAATAACTGAGATGAAAACTAGCAGAAAAAGCATAAGGTTGAATGTTTAGAAATTGTTTAACCTCTTCTGTAAAGCTATGGCTAAAGTTAGAGATGTATTCCCCTTGCTATTTTAGCAGTCAAGTTATTTCTGGTTTAGGTATAGGGGAAGCGTTGGTAGTGCTGGTGAGACCTTGCCTGGAATGCTGCCCTGGTCCTGGTCACTTCAGTTAAAGAAAGATGAATTGATGCTGGAACAAATGCAAAGGGAGGACTCTTGAGGATACGGCCTCTGTTCCGTATCTAGAAAAGAAGCTTGGTGTGATGGTGGTAGATATAACAAAGACTAAACAAGGATGTGCTTGGAGCACTTATATCAAAGCCAGTGGCAACCTGACTGAGCTTAAGTTAACAGAAATGTTGGTACAAGAAAAAGGGAGGCAAGCAGGACCTTCTTAATAAATAGAAGTTATTCAGTGATTTCTATGAGGATGTCATGCAAAATGCAGAAGTACTTAACTTAAAGTTCATGTCTCTCTATTCCTCAACAAGCTAAGAAGAACATGGGATCGGGTCAGCATGTAAGTTCTGTTAGGCTTTGTTCCCACTTCAGTGCAAAGTAACGCTCACTTTTCCATTGATCCAAAATACAGCAACACACCTTCAGCAAATTAATAATAAGCAAGTCACAGGAATGGTTTTGAAGGGAAAAAAAAAAAAATACTGCATGCCACCCCACTCCCCTCAAGGTCTGCTCATCAGACATACTAGTCTGCCAGCACAACTTGTGAAGTGAGGAGATTGTCTGGAGGTGTTGCATGCTCTTAAAACTGGATGGAAGGAGCTGATCAGAAATCGACACTGCAGCCTTTTCAGCGTCCCTCCTACCTCAGACCCTACACAGACATTAGCACTTCTTACTCTGGTCCTACAAGGGTCTTTGCTTTAGATGGGTTTCTTAGTTTCATCCTAGACAGGTGCTATTATGCAAATATGCAGTTTTAATTACATGTTATGCCATAGCAGCTGTCCCCCAACAGGGAAATATATATATGCTTATACCTTCTCCTGAACTGAGTCTGAGGCATGCAGAACAATCTTGCCATCTTTTGGAGGACCACCTAGCTGATCACTGGATAGGATAGCTGCAGGCCTCCCTTGGTGTAGGCAGAAAGGGGGTTTCCTCTCTGGGCTCTCAACTATGGCATTTTTTTTCCATTGCAGACATCTATTCTCATATATTACAAAAGACAAACAGACAGAGAGCTTGGTGGAGAAACTCTGTCAGCGATTCCGGACTGCCAGGTGGGTTGCAATCCTAATTTTCCTGACAAGCAAGTCTGCTTCTTAGGAATTGTTGTAAGAAGCTAGCTTGTATATGGTGGTTGTAACAGGTTCCCATCATATCTTCATGTGCCAAAGTGACAAATGCCGAGATAACCTGGATTAGGTTCCCCCCCCTTTTTTTTTTTCTATCTTCCTCCTAGAAATACATGAATAAATATGTATAAATTAAGGCTTCTGGTCTTATTATACTGTGATTGGCCCCTCTCCCTTCACCCCTTTCTTAGGGAAAAGGTTTTGTGATAATTTAGATCTGCATTAGAGCTGAGCAAGGAGACATGCCACATGTGGCTCTTATGCACCTTTGTGGTCCTTCTCCACAGGCTATTCCCTTGCATCTCAGCTAAGAAATCAGTGTGTTCAACTGAGAAGCTGGGATCTCCCCTGCAGTCCTGTCTGTTGATACAGGCCTGTCCTTGTTCTGCATGCGTGGGCTGCTCAGTACTAACTCTATGCCTAGAACTCTGTTTTCTTATTCAAGGGCTTGTGTCACTACACACTTGGTCCTTTGCTCTGTTCTGTCTGCAAGATGTGTATGCCTTGCTTATGGTGCTGATTATGGAGTATATAGTGCAGGACCCATCCTGTGAACCTGGGATATCATTTTGCTTCCTGGGTTTTGGGGCTATTTTTGTTGCTTCTTTCCCACTGCTTCCCAAGCTGTAACTTCACTGACCCAGATGTCCTTCCCCCCCCCTCCCCCCCCCGAAGAAAGATAGTAGAAATTTATCTGCCTCTCTGTCATGTACTTTCAGTGATATCTTCATTTTACCTTCCACTGGCTTTGGTGCATCCTGCCTTCCTCCATTCCTGTGGTTTTCCTTCTCCATCGTTGTGGCTTTGCCCTTGAGGTTTAAGCTGTGTCTGCTTATCTTGGCCACTTGTACGCATGCCTGAGCGTGTGACCTGCTCAGCTGCCTCAGGGAGTTGCATATTCCCCAGAAATATTTGGATTTTGTTTCCTGAGCTGGAGTGGAGAGTGGCCCCTCTCTCCAAAATTGTCTCCCAGGAACGCTGGTGAGCTCTTCACATCACAGTCGTGAAGAGCCATGTCTAGACTTTACTAAAATGTCCTAATATTTCTGTACCATGAAGATGATGAGTTTAATGCACACTAGCAGTAATGCTAGAGCAAGACTCTCACTCCAGGCTAAAACAGGAGCTTATCAGAAAAGATTTGACAGCCACCGTCACCCTCCTCAGCATTTCTGGAGATCTAAACATAGCAACATGCCAGGTATCGTTCAGACTTTATATGTGGAAACACCTGGATGCTGCAGCTTTGTGCTCCATCTGTCTGCATTTGGACAGTGCGTTCTGAGAGAGCACATGCAGGACAGACTTCCGGCCCTCTGTTTTGTATGTATTAATAATAGGGGCTTCAGCCTCACTTTTTTTCCTCCCGTTCTGTCACAGTGAGCTACATTAATGATGTTAGTTTGCTTTTTTTTTTTTGCCCCCACCCCCCCTTTTTTTTTTTAAAGTAACTTTTGCTGGAATTTAAATGTAGTCCTCCTTTGATACAGCAGTTGTTATTTGTTCACTTTCTATGTTAATGAAAATGGCCTTCTTTATATAACTGGCCTGTAACTGGCCAGGAAAGAGAGAGAACATCAAATACAGCTTCTGCTTGAGACTATCTCAAACATGCAAAAATGAGCAGCCAGGGTTTTTTATTATTTGGTTGAAATAAGGCCCTTCAAGAGGAGTTCCCACCTTACTGAGTGCATTTTTTCATCATAGCCAGCAATAACTTCTGACACTTTTTAAACAAGTGACTGTGTTCTTTGACAGTGAAGCCTTCATGTTTTTCTGACAGACACTAAGTCAGTGTCTTTGGAATACAGCCGTGGCTGCGTATGATACGGCATGGCACTCCGTAACTGATCTATAACAGAACAACTTGAATCTCGCGTCCTGCAGGGCAGAAGCACCTGCAGGAAATGCTTTATCTTCATGTGCTGTAGTTCTAGGTAGGATGTACTCATCCTTGCACCCCCCTTTTAACAAGAGCTAATGGCAATCTTTGTCTTTCCCAGAACTGAGCGTCAATATCGGGATCTGTCCCACTGCCTTACTCTGCTTCCCCTCTCAGAACGGGGCCTTCACAAGCTGCAGGACAACTTTGACTGCTTTGCAGACAAGCTCCAAGACCCAGCTGTCTACAGTTGTTTCCAAACTGTGCTGGTTCGATTCCGCAGAGCAGGTGGCAAACCTGAAAATAAAGTAAGGATGGGGAGCAAGTGTCCAGGCCAGGAAAACAATTGCTTTTTACACACAATGATTGGAAAGCCCTGCAGTTCTCCGTTTTAAGCAGGCTACTCCTCACCCTTACCAATTTACAATTTATCAGAGAACTTGATGGCAATTCTGCTATGGATGTAATACTTCTTTCCCCCCTGCCTTCTCTCTCTCTCTCTCTCTCTTTTTTTTTTTTTTTTTTTTCTCCTTCTTTCCCCACTGTGTTACATCTCCATCAGACTCTGGCTGAAGAGCTGGAGCAGAAGCTGTCTGCCTCCCATAACCGAGGGCTGGATTCAGCAGAGACATGCCAGGAAGGTAGTAGAACTCCAATGCCGGAGCCAGCCAAGCAGAAACCAACAGGAGGTATGTTCGTTTTGTGAGACTGCGAGACCGCAGCCTTCCCCTGATCTTGCAGTCCAGCAGAGACACCTAGGGACTTCTCCTCACCCTTACAGACAGAATGGCTGCTACCTTTCTCTTTTTTTTGTTGTTGTTTTTTTTTCTTGGCAGGTTCACGCCGCCAGCCCCTGAGCACAGCCAACAGGGATGATGATTTTGTCACACCCCAGCCTCGCACCTTCCGAAATCAAAAGCATGCCCAAAAGCGCCCTCCACCCAAAAAAGCTGTTATCACCTTCTCCAGTGATGAGGAGAACAGCTCTGAGGATGGTAAGGCATTGTACATGTGTGCTCAAAAGGTGAAAGTGGAGAAAGACTGTAGATTTGGTCCAACAGGGATGTTCTTTTGGTAATGGGCAGAAGGTGTGTAGGGCTTCAGAGCACTGCCTAGGTAGTCTGTAGCTTTCCCTGTTCAAGGCAGTGGAGTTATTGACACATTTTACTCTCTTTAGAGCTATCGGCAGAATTAACAGAGGAAGAAACCCCCACCAAAACAACTCCCATCACCAGATCTTCAGCCCGCCGGCTGCGCTGAGGGAACCATCTGCCACTGTCTTTAAAAATAAAACTTCTTTTTTTGCAGCAGTCGTCTTCTGTTGTCTGAACTACCCCATAATATGACAGTGCTTTAAATTAGGACAAAATGGAAGTTACGCAGCAGGCTAAAGCAATTCCAATCCTGTCTTTGTGGAGATTATCAAAAGAAAGGCAGTGATGAACATAGCTGCAGCTTTGAGTTGTTTTGCCCTGGCTTTGCAGGTGAAAGTAAGTTGCTCTGACTGAAAAAAAAAAAAAATCTTTGGAAGAAAGTCTTTCTAAGAAGAGTCCAACTAACCACCGAGTACAAAATGCTTATTCCCTTCCCATTTTGTACATGGTTATAAGTATACCATCCAGCTTCTCTTAACACAGGACCAATATAATTTTGCTGAGTTTAGGCCCTTTTACATCTGATCCTTTTTGAAGCTCTTGCCCTGCACAGCCCAGCAGGGCTTTGAGGGGAAGTCACCGGCATCTTTTTCTTGTACAGATCTCCTCAAAGAAGAGTTGAGCGACTGGGGGGTGAGGAGAGAGGGAGAGAGAGAAAGGCTGACTTAGACTGTAGCTAGGGTGCTTCAACAGATAATGTGCAAAGTGAGTAGGAAAAAAATACATTTTAAAGTTTTTAAAAGAAAAAACAAACAAACACTTTAGAATTATCTTTGTTCAAGTTACCAAGTATACTGATAACATTGGTTGTCTCACTGCACTTTTTGGAATGTATTTGCTGTGAATCCAGTTATGTTTCAAGTAAGACTGGTACTTAAGCTCTTTCCTTCCAGGAATGCCACACTGGTGTTCAAGTCAGTCCTGACATTTCTTGGACTGCCATGTGAACATTAAGTGCCCTAAACTTGAATTTGTGTTAATCACATAAACAACCTTTAACCCGCCTCTCTCACAGGCAAACTGGCATTTGTCCCAGAGCTACTAGTACAGAATTATTTCCTCTTACCTGCCAGTTGCCTAGAAAGCAGACTAGGCGCTAGCTGGACAGGTTCCTGCAGATCTTCCGCATTCTCTGTCTCTGAGGATCTACCAAGTTCCTGCAGTTGTCATGGTTGCCCTTGGTTCGCCAGCAAGTAGAGCCTGCTGCTCAGTTCTCCTCTGGCCTGGCTGCATAAGTAGTGATAAAAAACTGCTGTAGCTTATTTTGATCCCTATATTTAAAAAAAAAAAAAAAAAAAGTATTAGAAATTGCATAGCTTTGCATTGACCTGGGAATATGGGGGTTTTGTGCTAATACCTGAATGGACATAAATACGTCTACTTGTTTCTACAAGCTTTTAACAAGGGAATGATGGTGTGACAGGTGTATTTACTGGGCTGGGACGTGTGGACCAAACACCACACTTGAGTCCCAGAACTGGGTAGAAAGATCTGCCCCCTTGCCGCCACTAGTGTAATAGCCAGATACCAATATACACCCCCCCCAACTCCAGAGCACCCCAGTAAGAACCGGACAATCGTGAAATACAAAGATCAGAAAGCTACAGCAATGTCCCTCTCTCCCATCCTCCCTGATAAAATATTCAGTGAAAGCTACAGGAGACAGAGGCAGCAGCTACAGCATTAATGGTAAATACAACACGGAGTCATACATGCTGTATGTGATTCCACCACCACCACCACCCACAGGGTATGTCACTCACAAATGGGAATGAAAGAAAAAGGATGGCATATATGGATTTCTACCCAGGCTCAAGGCTTGACAAGTCTGCAATAAATCTTGCATATATATGAGATAATACATTGACAACACTGCAGTGAGGGAGATGGGAATGGGTGGCTGGAGGGAGCGAGGTGGCCATAAAAGTGTCTAAGCATTGGCTTACCTTCAGGCCATGCTTTTCCACTACAAGTGGCTAAACCTTTTCCTTCAGGAGAGCTGCGCAGCCACCTTTCTGAGGCGGAAGGAGGGTTTGGCAGTCAACGACTGGACTGACACAGCGGCTCCTTCACTGCTTTGCAGTCCGTCTTTTGGTCTTTCCTGGGCACAGCACTGCTTGGTCAAGCAAGAGCAGAAGGTCAGTGAGTGGGAGCTGCTGCTGGTCCCTTTCTGCAGGCTGTTTAGGTGGAGCATCCCCCTCTCCTCACTGGCCTCTCCTGGCATCGGAGGAATTAGCGATCCTGTGTCATGGAGAAAGAAAGTCCTGCTTCATCCAAAGATGAAGCAAAAAAACCAAGAGGGGTTTGAACAGCTACGCAGCAGCTGCTGCCTTAAGCAGCTGGTTGCTGCCCTTCTGTTCCTCGCAAGCGGCTGTTTCAGTGGCTGCCGCGATGACCAGGAATTGCTACTGAAGGAGTAATCCCATTCCCTCGCTTCTGAGGCAGTGGGATTACTCTGCCAAGATCAGTGGCGTTTCCAGTCTCTGAGGAACTCCTGACCACGGTGGGCTCCAAACTCCTACATGTGGTACCAGTGGAATGATGTGAATATCATCCTTGCTTCTAGAGCCTGCATAACCATCAGCCCTTTCCCTCACTGTGGGCCAAGGGTTGTTCCCCCAGGGTACTGCACCCAGTTCCTAGTCCTCCCACTCTCCAGTTGCCCTGCTCCTTTCCTTTATAAGCAACTGTTTGTAAAAGACTGATTGTGATTCAGCAGGAGACCACTTTTCCAGTGGTCTTGCAAGCTCTAGAATCGGTGCCCCAGCATCAGAGGGGGAAGGGTTTTTACAGAGGAAACTTGTTAGCACTAGAGAGGAAAGGACAATAACCTATTTGAGTCAGAAAACTGGGGCAATCGGGGACTCGTCTGCCAAAGCCTTTTCACTTCACAGTCATTGCCAGGACATGTCAGAGCAACTATTCAGTTCTACTGCAGTCCCAGCAAGGATCTGGGACACGGAGCAGCTGCAACTTCACGGCACCTGAGTCATTGAGCACCTGCAATTTATCCAAGCTTTGCTGGATTTGCAAATTTGCAAGAGAATTTGCAAACTTTGTCTCCAGTATCTAAAGTTTCTTGCTTGGCATGGGACAACGATCACTCCTTCCCTCTTGCTAGCCTCAGCTTTTGGTGGACCCAAGGAGGAGACCGGTCACTTGAGAGCTCGGAGCCTGTCCATCCCTGCAGGGCTCAGTCTGCGTGCAAGTGGGCTGGAATTTGGAGCAGTTGCAAACACATTTCTGGCATTCTTCTTGCAGTATGGGGGCTACCACGTTCAAGGGCTGCCAGATCAAACCACCACTACATTTCCTGTCAAAACCAAAGCATTGTTGCTTTTATACTTACCTTTCGCTCAGGAAAGAGCTGACTCCTGGAAGCGGTACATTCAACCTGAGATGCATCTGCCTGCAGCTGTCTTGGCAGGAGCATGAATACTCTAGCGGACTGACTCAGCTGCTTCTGGATGGTTGGATGTGACTGGGAAGTACAGAACAACATCCTCTGAGACATCTTGCATGTGGGATGAACACGTGCTCGCTTCCCATCCTCCTTCCTCTCTCTCCCACCCCTCCAAAACTTTCACACCGCAAAGCACCGTACCCTACCACATCCAGCACACGGAGGGGCTGGCTGTGCACACGCATCCCACGCTCCGTTTGTGCACGAGCACCCCGTCCGAATGCCCACGTGAACAGCACATCCCGTGACTCTCCAGCAGTCACCTGTGCTTTGTAGTTTAAAAAGCTGGTATGAAAGTAATCCTGTTCCCCATTAAATGTCTTGCTGGGGGCTGTTAACCGGGGCCTAGGGAGCCCCTCCATTTGCCGGCGTGCCCTCGAGAGCTGTCCCAGGCGAGGTGGTGACAGGGGACTGCCAGACAGGATCAGCAGAGCATTGCTCTGGAACCAACCAGCACCACCCACGGGTCGCAGGTATTGGGTAGAGCTAACATACTTGGATGCCCCCACCTGTGCAGTCTCTTCTGCTTCCAGTGTCAATGCTCCGGACTGAAGCCTGAAGACCGAAGTTTCACTTTTCACGGACTGGATGCAAAACGGTTCGTAAAACTTTCTGGCTCCTTGGGCAGGGAAGAAAGGGACCCACAAATCTGCATCTTTGAGTGCAAAATGCTAGGAAGGAAGGGAGGGAAGGAGAGGAAGAAAGACAGGGCAAATATCTGAACTGTGACTTTTGTTATCTCTGCAAAAGACTTCTTTTTTCTAATTTTCTTCTTTCCTTAAAAAAGAAATAAACAAAAGCAGGCAGCAGAACACTGCCTGTCGAGTTTTGACCCAACGGCTCTGTGCAACAGTACTGAAGAAAGGGAAGTTGACAGTGTTATTAAACTCACCCCAGCACACCCACTACTCATCCTGCACTGGGGTACAGTCCCCCCATTCCTCTCCCCTAACAAACTTTCCTGATTAGTTTCTGTCTTCACACCCAGGCTGACTTCTGCACCCTGATCTCCAAACAGTGACCTCATTGCCTTGTTCAACTGGTGAGAAACTACAGTAAAATGGGAGAGGTAAACAAAGGGGGGGGGAACTAATGGCCAGAAGATTTAGGAGGTAGGAATCTGCTCCTTGCCATCCCGCTTCCATTGTGCGCCTGAGCTTGAGAAAATGCAAGCTGAACCTCAACAAGCTCTTTTCTGTGCCGGTTCCTCTGGAAACTCAGCCCGGCCCTCCAGATGGTGACTCAGGACAACCAGCCTGCAAGTTATATGCCCGCTAGTACTAGACCCACACACCCGTCACCGCTACAAATCCCGTAGAGTTAGCGCTGGAATTCACACACCTTCTGCAGCAAGAGCTCTTCATTCCCAGGCCAACCGGCTCACCAAGAAATAAATCTTAAAAACGAAAGCCTGTATTGTCACGGAGCTGAATTTGTGTCAGCTCTGTGCAGCCAGCAGTGTGCCTACCACTAGCTGAGCTGTAGTTCATGCTCACGCTGATTAGAGAAATAGCATTAACAGCACTCTGTCTACAGGAGTATGTTCAATATCACTATACAATCCAGCCTTCAATATCCTCCTTTGGGACATGTTTCAAAGTGTCACCCCATTCCTGACCCTGACAGATACCTCCAGGTCCTGGCCAGCAGCAGCTCAACTCACATCTATCTTCCCAGACACTCAGTAAAC